GGTCTTCTCCATTTCCTCCTGTAGGTTACATGGAGGGCATGTGGGTTGAATGTATAATCCCAATCTGTGAAGGTGTTTTGCCAAGCAATCGTGTCCGGTACGTAGTCTAAACTCAGCAACGGCTTCGATTCTTGGCCGGTCGGGTATGTCGTTGTCCTCTTCTTAGCAAGTGTGTTTAGGTGATTCTGGTAGTTCTAGCAATAACTGATCTTTGTTCATTTGTGATTCGAGTTAGGCTATATGTAATTGTTGTCTAACGGGTATACTTAGATATATTTCGACTTGCCGACCCTGTCGAAGTAATGCGAATAGATCTGACCATTGGGTTTTATTGACATGAATAGAGGATTTGGTCTACACGAATAGAGGCTGGTGTGCAATAAAACGGGGATATTTAATTGGAAAATCTAATTGAGAATTTTTTTTGGCTGAACCTATGGGGGTGTCTTGCCCTCAAAGACCAGCCGCATCTAGCAATGAATTTGATTGACATCTCTGACTCATGGTTTTAATTCAAAAGTTATTATCAATGAGTGCATCTAATGCATGCCCTTCCGATCCAAAGCTTTACAGCCAATTAAATGAAGATATCCAAATGATGAGAGATGAATAACAGCCACGAAGCATGCTCAATTGTTCACTGTACTTAAATATTTACTATGATTTTTAAATTCAATAAAATCTGCCTTTCTATATAGCTTTGTGGCAGTCATTCTTTGCAATTATGTCCAAATTTGACGTCACTGACTCAAAGATGATAAATTTTATTTTCCCTGTGTTTTAGTTAAGCATCAATTTATTTGCAAATATAATGTGTATAGTGTGTCAATCGTAAGGGCATATTCAGAGCTCTACGTAAATATATTCAGGTTGATTAGTAAGGTATTTGGCTTTGTTCAGCCCATTGTTGTTTTTCAACTTCTTCTGGCTAAAAGTTCCTATTGGCAACAGCGAGTCTGCATTGGCACTCTATTTTCCTACAACTTTAATGCCCTGAGTTTTAAAGTCGTTGCAGCGTGTTATAATTGAGAGGAAACTAATGAATTAATTTCCAGACATTAGTTATTGGTCTTCCAGTATGATTGACTATCCTCACGCTATGTTTTCAGGTGTTAATAATATTTTTCTCATTTTGTGTCAGTTTGTCATTATCTGGATGTTGATGTGCTTATAAGCTGTCCAAATAGAGGGTCTTTATTGTGGCATGACAACAAATTCTCCCAGAGAACTCCGCTTGGCAAGGCCTTTATTAGCTAAACCAACCTGTACAGTGGAAAGGAATCGTAATAACCTTTGCCTGGTCTTATCTATTTTCCATTAGGCACACCTATACGGTACTATTAATAACCTAACTTGTTAGGATAAAGGTGACAGTTTCACGATTTCATTTTTATTTAATATTTATTTATCTCAAATGGCAGGCGTTTTGATAGCTATCATCAGCCATTTAGCTGACTTCAGGCTTCACAGAGGGAAGGTTCATCAAAGTAGCAGAAAGTCGAGGGGCGGGGAACAGAAGAGCGATTCACAGACAGACAGACAGACACAAAGGTAGAGAAAAAGGTAAGGTGAGTACTGTGAAAGTGGTAGAATATGACATACGTTGGGGTGATGGTAGTTTGCGCGGTTTAATTAGATACGAACTCTAAATATGTTGGCTTTTCTATTGCAGGACATGAAAGGCGCTCAAATTTTAGCGATGCTTGACCAGGGTCTTCGACTATCACGACCAACGCGATGTCCAGAGGCAATCTACAGTGTAATGCAACAATGCTGGAATGCCGAAGGTGTACATCGGCCGTCTTTCTCCGAGTTAGTTCTTACAATGTCGCGATTGGCTAAAGGACCTCTCTTTCCCAACAACTTTTCCACTTGCCATGCTGATAATACTGACCAGCAACAACAACAACGCGGAAGTTCCACAAAAACGACTGAAAGTGGCGATTCATCCGCGTGTGCCTTTGCCTTCTTTTGAGCTTAAGAAATTTCTCTTCCCCCCCCATCCCTCCTCCTTCCCCTATTCCCCAACTCAAATTATCCGATCAGAGATGTACACCCTACGTCTCGCTCTCATTCTTAAGCCTTTTTGCGATCTACCCACCCTCTACATCTATAAGGCTATTTCAAATGTGTGTAATATAATAACCTCGAAATATCGATTTACTTTAAAAAATTGAACTTCTCCTTGTTGTTTATTAGTTAAAACATACTTGAAACTTGTATTTTACTTAGAATTGCTTTGACAATTTTAAGTAGTTAGCAGAAAGTTACGCAAAGGGCAAATTCATGTTAGACCTACCTTCAGTGAATATATGGCTGAAGGGAATTGGCAAAGTTCGTAACTAAAAAGTTGTTTAAATTATCTCCTTGTTTTAACAAAGTGGTGCTTAGAAAAACAAAACTTAACAGGAGGCAAAGAACGTCACATAACATATATTAAATACGGTGACATGGTGCATGAAGCATGGTCCCTTTGAGGTTGATATTATTAGATTTAAGTCAAGACAGGGCTGAATGGAATCTTGGTGATGTAAGCAATGCTTACTGAAAGTGGAAAAAAGGATCCGGTAGAAATTGGAGAATTTTTATGAAAACTTCAAGGCTGTTGAAAAAGTCCGTCAAAGTCCGAAATTTTGTCTACGCTGACATATTTTCCTTCCTCCAAGAAGAAGGCACTTAGTGAAAATCTTTGCAACCATCAACTCTTTCAATTGTCATCGAGTTCGACGTCTCAACGTCAATGCTCTTGAAAGTTATCGTTTAGCAATGGTGAAGAAAATTTTAAGCAAAGCGGAGCATTCTTCGGAAGCACTAATAATAATTTTTTTCTTTTACCGCAATGAAAAAAAACCAGCACGCATTAGAGAAGATGGCTACACTTGCAAGTCGCTGAGAGTGATATGTTGTGATGCCTTCAACCGCTACCTATTCGGAGGAAGGATTGGGCTGAATTCAGAAGCTAATGTGGAATTTCTAGTCACTATAGTGATTAAGCTCTAGGCATCGTGTGCAGTCAGTAAAAGTCCGTTTTGGTTAACAGCAACAGACTTTGGGCTCCTATTGCACCTCAGAGAAAAGTAAACAAAAGTTTATGTATTGAGCCTTGGCATTTCATTAGTCTTAAGGTTCAACTTTCAACCTCCTCTCTCCCCCATTCACACCTCCACCCGATTGGCTATTATAAAAGCATTGTGCACCATCAAGACAGACATTGATAGCCATGTCACCATTACAACAGTCAGACATTAGAAGGAATTTTATGGGACATTTTTATAATAAAAAAATGCAAAATCAGATTTTATTGGATTTGTAATCGACGCCAATAGTGCGACTCCTGCAATCTATTCCTGATTCCTTAAATTTCGTAGTGGTCACCCCCTTTATCATCTACTGATGGAAAAGTCAAGCAAACCCCCCCCCCCCAGGGCCTTCCCCTACCAAGATCTCATCTGTAATTATGAAAGTAAAATGGAAAGAAATGTCCCTCAAAAGACAATATTTTTTTCAATCAAGATTCAGGCAATCGTCTTGTAGTCATCGTCATGGATGCTAAAAATGTTGGTCTGCATTTCAGACTCTTCTGTCTGTAATTTTAATCTTCCTTACAGCCATTTTTTGTACCACCCTTCCCCTCCTCTCTCTCTCCAGGACAGCCGTCAGACAATTGTCAAAAATTCAAAAAATCCAACCAGAATAGACTCTTCTCCCTGGGATTTCCTGCAGCTATTAACAAACTACTACAGAATCGGGCTCAAATTCAAATTTGACAAAAGTTACTAAATTGGTAACGCATTTTCGAAATTCGAATTTCATCAATCATCACTTGGATTGAGGTAGATGCTACCCTACTGTGTTTAATGCCGATTGATCGCTGTTTATATTCAAGTATCACGGGTTTTTTTTATCTTTTTTCAAATGTTTTGAAAGTAAAGTTATAGCTTGAAATTTCCAGTTTCCAACTTTAATATTGCGCAATCTCTGCACTTCCAACCAACCTGATTAGCTCTGGGCAACAATGGAGGATTGTTCCACGTAGACTCAGCTTCGGAATAGCTTCTCTCAGCACAAGACAAATGCCATGAACGCTCATAATTGATCTAGAAAGTGTTTATTTATTTATATCAAATGACAGGCTTTATGATAATCGTGATTAGCCCTCCAGTTGACTCCGATCTTCACAGTAGGCATGAACGTCAAGTCACATAAAGTGAAGAGGGGGAGCATAAAAGTGATCCACAGATGTAAAAGAGACAGACAGACAGCCACAAAGGTAGAGAAAAGGTAAAGTGTGGTGAGTACTGTGAAGTAGGCGAAAATGACATGCAGTCGTGTCATGGTAGTTTAAAATTAGAAGTCAACTGCCGAATTTTATGGACTTTTTGCCGCATGCGTAAACGTTACCAGGGCAGCACCACGTGGAGGAAGGTCTATCACGCACCCTTCGGAAGTACATTTTACTAAATAGTTTTTATTTGAAGGTGGCACAGAGGTTGTAGAAGATGTAATTGATAATGCTTAAGCTTTTCTAACTATCTTGATGTAAGCTGAGGAAATTGTTAAAATTATTTCGGATTCAAGACTATTGAAAACAAAGTATTAAGGAGTAAGGAATCATAGCAAAACTATTAATAACAGGTTAAATCAAACCTTAATGGCGCTTTCAATCGCATGAACATTACTCAACAAATGAGGTGCGCGATGGATTTACCTAGTCAACATAAACTCGTACAGTAAAAAGTCTATTAACCGGCATTTGACTACTGACTTCAAAATGCCATGGCCCCACTGTATGTCAAAATCCCCGACTTGTTCAGTGCCCACATCACCTTACCTTTTCTCTACCTTTGTGTCTGCCTGTCACATTTACAACTGTGGATCACTCTTCTATCCCCCCTCTCAACCTTTTCTCATTTTGATGATTCGCTCCTCTATAAAGCCCGATGTCAGCTAAAGGGCTAATGCTAACTATCCAAAATCCCGCCATCTGATATAAATAAATGATCAACAAGATTATACGAAAGTTTAAAATCACTTAGCATTTATCTTAGGCAATTTCTTTGATTTGATCCGTTCAAAGTTTTAATACTACTTTATATAAATAATGAGGGTGTGCGATAGACTTACCTCTCCACGTGGTGCACCCTGGGCAGCATATACTCATACGGCAAAAAAGTCTATTAACCGGCAGTTGACTTCAGACTCCAAACTACCATCACCCCACTGTATGTCAAATTCACTACTTTCACAGTACTCACCTCACCTTTTTTCCAACTTTGTGTCTATTTCTTTTACATCTTTGAAACACTCTTCTGTTCCCCCTCTCCCTTTCGAATTTTTTCACTTTGATGTTCCTCCTCCCATCCGTGAAGCCTGAAGTCAACTAAAGGGCTAATGATAACTATCAAAACGCCTGCCATTT